TCTCTCTCTCTCATTTGTCCGTTTAATCAAAACTATAACACGTATTACTTAAATACCAAGTTCTGAAATTTTAATCTATAACAAATAATATGAATGCTTCTTTGTATCACCTTGTCCGAGTATAATCACGGGGAATTGTTTATAGATACATGTAGAAGTCTGCTGAATAAATCATCATTTAAAAAAAAAATGAAAAGACACATAAATATATTATTGCATTAATTTTTTCTAAATATGAGGGTATACATGCAATACGTCCACAGACTAGCAAAATATTTTTTTATTTTTTTTCTCATTATTTCACACGGAAATGCCTTGACACGGAAATACATGTATGGTTGTTACAACCGTTGTAATTCGTTCTATAAGTCAGTAATGTACTCTTCAAAAATCATTATTTGTAATGGTTTTATATATCAAATGAGAATAAACATATTTATTTTACAACTAGAATGATTTTATTTTTTAAACTACAGCGTTCGGTAACAATGACAATGTTTTACAGCGATAAAAATCGTGTGATTAAACAGCGGAATTTAAACATCATACATATGTGCAGAAAATATTGTAAGAAACTTAATTAATGGTTTTACTAAATGTGCATCTTTCATCTTTCTCAGGACAATTTTTGAATATTTATTTATTTTCCGCCTGACATTAGAATACAATAGAATAGATACAATGCATGGAAAAGATCAGAGGCATTCCGAATAAATCGTTCATCTTGCGTTCACCATTCGTTCACCGTTCACTTTGCGCTAGCGTTCGCGCTCCGTTCGCGTTCTGCGTTCGCTCACCGTTCAGCGTTCACCTACCGTTCACCAAGTTGCGTTCAGCGTTCACACATCGTTCACTCACCGTTCGCTCTGCGTTCGCTCACCGTTCGCTCTGCGTTCGTTCAGCGTTCGCTCACCGTTCAAGTGGGAAAGTAGAACGTTTCAGGGACTGTAATTTAACGATTATTAAATTGGCAAGTCAGTGAAAATAATCATGACTGAAATATAATACACAAAGAATTTTTCAAAAGCTCCAGTACTTAAGAAAACTGCATTCAGAGTATAGTATGGAAATCGGCCTTGCTCTATAATTATAAGGCCTATTTAAAGCTAGTTTTGATAGAAAATAAATAACTCAAGTTTAATTATCTACAAAAAAAAAAAATAATAATAATAAATAAATATGGAAACCAGTATCAATCACAGTAATTTAGAAATTGATTTATTTTGGTGAAAAATTAATATACCACAAAACTGTGTTTAAATATTCATGTTATTTATAGGTGTGAACGTCTTCTTTGTTCAATATTTATTATTTGTTGCTATACGCGTAGTGTGATTTTCTTAACAGTTAAAAAATGACTGTCGCATGAGAATTGATACTTATCAGAAAGAAATGGATCATCAATTTCAACTGCCTTTTATAGTTACATTGTTTATTGGTAATCTCATTTCTGAGTAAGCTCCGCCCATTAAATTAATTAACCCCGCCTACTGGGACTGCTTTCTGGGACCGCTGGGACTGCTGGGACTGCTCTGGGACCGCTGTGGGACTGCTCTGGGACTGCTTTAGCAGTCCCAGAGCAGTCCCAGAAAGCAGTCCCCGGGACTGCTCTGGGACTGCTTTGTGTCAGGTTGGGTCTGGTTGGTACTGTATTTTTGTATTCATATAAAGCAGAATTTGTTCAAAATCTTGTGAAAAGAAGAAAACACTTGCAGTGGCCTTCAACTCAACATTTAAATAGATCGACGACGTACTGTCAATTAACAATGGCTATTTCCATTTTTATGTCGATACGATATATCCCGGTGAGCTTGAAATAAAAGATACCACAGAGTCTGACACACCTGTTTCATATTTGGATATTTTACTAGCAAAAGACGTTAATGTTAATCTAACAACCAAGCTTTATAATAAACGTGATGACTTTAACTTTTTAATCGTCAACTTCTCTTACTTATGCAGCATTATACCTTCATCACCTGCATACGGAGTTGATATCTCTCAGTTGATTCGATACGCAAGAGCATGCTCTACGTATGAAAAAATTTCTAAAACGTGGTAAGTTGATGAAACAAGAATATTAGCAGTCTTGTTTAAAGTCGTCATTTCGTAAGTTCTATGGTCGATACAATGACCTTGTCCGCAAATACAATTTATCATTAAGTTAAATGCTGACTGACGTTTTTTCATACTAATTGTTAGGCCATTATTTACATACTGGATTGTCGACGGATTTTTTCGTTATTTCCCGATCATGACAAGGAGCACACGGCGGGTGTGATCGGTCGGCATGGGATGCTCACTCCTCCATGGCACCTGATCCCACCTCTGATGTTTTAGAGGTCCGTGTTTGCTCTGCTCTGTAATTTGTATTGTTTAATGGACTTTTGAGCTTGAATACTGTTCGTTATCTCCATATATTTCATTGAAAGAGAACTGTGAGTAAAAGTCGGATTACCACTTGTAGAATGAAATCCAAATTCCTGTAAAATACAATTGCAATAATGAGCATATAAACGAAGACTATGTTGGTACCTGTTTTGTCAGCTGGGACCAGTGCATATTTATTGAATAAGCTATCTATTTCACTTCTGAGTTATTGAAAACAGAAGTAGATGGTTTCCATATTGCCCCTCAACCTTGTAACACGAGATTTCAACATTTATCTTATACTTTTAATTCATTTTGACAGTGTGTCTTCTTTTTCATATTTGACCCATCGTCTTCGACGGAGTTCATAATCTTTATGAAATTGTTTGCCAGTTGAAACATCGGGGCTCAAATAAAAAAAAATCATTAATGACACTTCCTGTTTTTTGTGAATTGTCCCTTTCAAAGTTGCAAGAAAAAAATGACGAAAATAAATCAACACCTATCTGGTTTAGAAAATAAGTCTGAAGAATGGAATACTTCTCTATTTGACAATGCATCAACTCTAAATATGTTGGCATTAACATCAGGAGTATGCAGCAGCATAATTTGAATTCGGTAGTCAATATGCTGATGAAGTATATAATAAATGATTCGTACGCTTATATATATATATATATATATATATATATATATATATATATATATATATATATATATATATATGTATATATATATATATATATATATATATATATATATATATATATATATATATATATATATATATATATATATATATGAATTAAGAGTACGATGTTGAAGTCATTACTAGTATGAACTATGAAGTACAATGTATCTTATAAGTAAGGATATCAAGATTTCTTGCATCAATTTCTTAAAAGTTTTCAAAGCTTATAAAAACAATTACGTTTTATCGATGTTCTTTGATTAATAACTTTCTTATACTTTTCTGTCTGATTGACAACACGTAACACAACCCATACTCAAACTTCTACTTTGACCTACAATTTGATTTTCCGTTTTGCTTTATAACATACTATAACATAAATATGTCCTCTTGGCCAAACAAACACTCAAAAAAATTCATTAAAAGTTATATTAAGTTACACTTGTGAATGAACTCCATGATGGACACAAAGGAAAAAAAAGTTGCACAAATAAGAAAATAAATCAATAAATACATGCAAATATTATGTAGATGCAAAATAATTCTGCTTTTATCAGTTAAATCAGAAAAATCAAAAAAAAAAAAATGTAAATTTGATACGCACATCCATGATCCCCAGTAAATAATGACGCGTGAAAAATGTCTGGACGAAAAAATACATAGAGACAATTATTATAATAGCGACAATTTTATATTGTATACACTGAGGCATTGCAGGCAAAAATATTTCATTATTCATGCACGTTTATGCAGGAATAAACCTCATTGGCTATTGAAAGGGGAAATGTCGAAATATATAGGAATTCCGGGTTTTTTCTTTCTTTTCCTGAGAATTTGGTGAAAAAAAAAAGCTAATCACTACCTACTTTATTCAAATACTCACATCGGAGTAGAACTCAAGACTCTGTATAAAAAAAATTTTGAATTTTGTGGTCTATATACACTGTATCCCCCTTTCCATTTCTCTAGGGCATGAAAACTGGGCTATAAACCAATGAAAAGGAAAACAACGAACAGTAATAAATTTGATATATCCTGTCAACAAAATGAATCGTTAACCGGACATTTACGTGGACCCCTGTAATCACCAAAGGGTTTGATCAGCTAGGCCCCTAGGAGGAATAAGCATCCCCCATCAACTGTCACATCCGCAGAGAGCTCTCTGTATAGACAAGGTACACGAAATAATCGGTTATCAAAATTAGTATAAAATTTCACTGTTGCCATGGAAGCTTTTTTAATTGAACTTTTCCTCTAAAGGTATTTCAAGCCAGCCTGCATATAAATAAATACTTATGTGTTAACGTCTCCTCAAGGTTCAGCAGTTTAACCCAAAAATGGCTGCAATTAATTGCCTTTGCAAGAAACCAAAAAAGAGTAAATTTGTTTTTTGTTTTTTAAATTTGCAAATTTGAACAAGTATACATGTAGTTGCTAATTCTGCATTCAACTCTAATATTGCACTGTTGGGATATATTCGAAGTAACAGATGGTATTGCTTCACTGAATTGCAAATTTTCTAGTTCGTTTTCCCTTTTTTCCATTATTTACTCCAAGAGCATATATTTGGCGTAGAAGGAAGAATACACTCGTACATGTAAGCGAACTATTTTTTCCCCGAAAAAGTAACGGACTCAAGATTAATTTTGTAAAACAGCCTATGGAAGTATTTTACAAAATTTAGCATGCCGTTGTGATTAGCTTCACGCATCGTATTATAATGTATCTCCAAATGGCAGTGGACTGGCCTTGTTTGTGTGATATGCGCGATTTCGTACGAAAGAGACAAGCATCACTATCACTGATATCCATTTCATATATATGGCGGGAAATAACACATTCGGAGCTCTCTGTGCGTTTTAATCATATCGAAGATAGTCCGATGACACCTGACATCCTGTTCCTATTGCGTAGAAAACTTGCGCATTCGTCCTAACAGCAAAACAGCGGCTATGGAGACATGCACTTGTAGATAACCCGAAATATTTTGTATGGTGTACTTTTGGAGTTTTTAGTGTCATTAAAATCAAAATAATGACAGTATCCGGAATTCAACAAGATATGATACTACATATATGTAATGAATTAAATCTAGATGTTTAAAAGTCTCTGTAGTTACAACTTGACTGCAACTTTACAGTGGTAAGTTCAAAGTTAATTTACGTTTGTGTTGTTTATGTGCATTACTTTGATGCCTAATTTTGATATTCCTTAATTTGATTTAAAGAATATATTCTAAATGTTTTCTTGATTTAAGAACTTGTATGACATTATGCAATATTATGACAACATATTAAATTTGAAGGTCCTACGTCCTCGATGTTGGACATCAAAACACATACACGTGTGAATCAGACCCTGTGACAGATCTAACAAATATTTCTGTTTAAGTATGTAAAATTTTAAAAATACATCTTCCATCTAGAATTTACTTAGAATTGATTCTAAAATTTTACATAGAACCCACAACAATTACTTTTTTGATATTCATTCTTTAGATCCTAAAAAGATATGTATACATTATGTCAAGTTAGAAAAAAAATTTAATATATCTAAGGCTTGAAGAAAAAATACAGTGAAGAAAAAAAGAGTTTATAGAGTAAAGTATTTTCAAAAACACCAATAAATTGACAGGAAAAAAACATTTAAAGGTAAACAAAGTAGCAAGTATGGCTAATTAATTAACAGATACCATGCTTTTATAGCGAAAACACATATAATACAAGAAATAATACCTGAAGCGTACAACAAAAAAGCTGTAAAACAAAGGTTTTTACACGTCTTTGATCTGTAGCTTTCTGGTTTGCTTATTTTAATTTTCTCAAGAAGAGAGTTACAGGTCTGTAGCTGATTTTGACTAACTTCAAATATCTCTTTTTTTTCTTTTCTTAAAAGTGAATAGTTGTATGGGGGTGGTGGAGGCCGAACATGTCTGTAATTCAATAGAATTTAAGAACTGAAGTGCTTTCTATTAAGATACATTTGCCGCTGTGTTCAGATAGTTCAGTTGGTGGAGCACTTGTTTAGATTTCTCACCAAATTAAGAGCCAGAATATTAATTCTTGCCTGGTCATTTGCATTTGTTTCTTTCCTGTAATCATTCTAATGGGCTGAGATGACAAGTGAAAACTTACCAGTTTCTTGGTTAGTATGTTTGAGAACAAATTCATTAAAGAAGAAAGAGGGAGATGTAAAGATTAAGTATACCAATAGATTCCACTCCTGGTGGCTGGTGATATGCTCAGTTGAAAGAGCACCTGACTAGAGGTTTGAATCCAGGTCTTATACTGTGTTTCCTCCTTTTCTGTTAAAGTCACTTGGTCTGATTGTTATGGTAAAAAAAAATATTTCTGGTTGTTCTTGAAAAATAATTCTCTGTAGCAAGATTGTCCCTTAGTCCAAGGGAATCTTCCCGCCTATAGTGAAGTAATCCGCCTGTTATTCTGTTATTCCCCCTCAACCCCCTCTTAGGGGAGGAACCTCAGACACCCTTCTACTTTTTTATGTCCCCTACTATCTTTAAAAAGATATTAATATATATAATGTGTTTATTTTGTCAATATGGTTTTTGACCTAAGTTTCTATTAAAAATATTGCTGTTAATTAAGTGAAAAATCAGTGGCATATGATTTATTTGCATGACCTACAAATGTACAGGTATACATTGTATTTATTGTGTAAGAAAAATATGCATCTCAATTTAACCAAGCAAATGTAAGTAAGTAAGCTAAAAAAATTCCATGTAAGTAATGTTATAAAAATGTGTTGAATCATTAACAGGTTAAAGTGTTTCTACCAATTAGCATTATATCACCTGCTTTCTTATATAAAGTGCATGAATCAAAAATTTTAAAATTCTGTTTTTCATGGTAAACATATGATAATCATTGCTAACTTCAAACACACTTTTGCAAAGTTATATTGTTTCAGAATTTCTATTTTTTTTAACTGGATATATATTAATTATAAATACAAGGCCTGCAAATGAGCAAAGCCTGTCTACATTCCTTAGTAGTAATAAAGATCCCATTTAATCCAAGAACAAGCCATTTCATATGTTATTTACAGCATTAAGGTGTATTACCACTATTTAAATCTATCAACAGTTACTTTTTCTTCAAACTTTGTATTGAGGGATTACTGTTTTTTTCTTTTCATGGATTTTTAAACGGTGAATATTTTTATTGGCTGAATTAGTATATGAATAATGACATTGACTTGTGATGGGGTTATTGGACGGGAAGGCATGACAGTTTGGAGGAAATTGTTTGAGTGCTGTATACTCTCATGGAAAACAACAACAAAAAGAAATGGAACAATAAAATACTACAAATAGTCAATCACGTAATAGTAATATTTTATCTTATTCTGTCAGTCATCAGTGCTTCAGACCACTTTTTGGTACAAAAGCCACTGCATGTGCCAAAAAAATTGAGAAAATATTAAGTAATATATGATAAAGGGAAAATTTGGAAAATCAATTCATGAAAAAAAGATTATAAAAATTTGTCATATTTCAGTTACCTGGTGTCTTGCTGCCAACTTTATTATTAAAAATTACAGTTAGGAAATAACAGGGTGTAAGGGAAGCGCATTGGTTAGAGCACTCGCCTCTCACCGAAGCGATCCAAGTTCAATCCTTGTGATTTGCAGTGGTTGTATGTAAGAGGGTAAGGTGGTCCTACTCAGATATGTGGGTTTTCTCCAGTACTTCAGTTTCTTCCCACAGATAAAGCCCCCAGCATTCGTGCAAAGGACCCCATTGGAAATAAGCTTGTGATCGGCAGTGGTTGTATATGTGAGAGGGTTGCAAGGTGGTCCCCCTTGGACGCAGGGGTTTTCTCCAGTACTTCAGTTTATTCCCACAGATATGACTCCCCAATATTCCTGCAAAGGACCCCATTGAAAATAAGCTTTTCAAGCTTTCATGGGCTATCCTTAGTATCACATTATGTGTATTTATTTATGTACCGTATAGGCCTATAAACATTTATTTATTTTTTTAATACCATGCTCAGTGTGTTAAGAACAAAGGTATGTTGGGAATGGGACCATTCAGTATCCCCAATAATAGACATTCAAGAGCCCTGGTCATGATAAATTGTTTCATATGTTATTTCTGCACATAGGCTTATAGTTGCATGAGCACTGATTGCAGAAAATCAATAGTATATTGAATTTATTTATTGATAACTCAAATTGAAATATATGTGTGTAACTCGGTATGCAGTAGTTTAGTATTTTCTCCACAGATTCATGCTTATATTTAGCTGATAATCATGATATTTTTTTTCTATTAACAAATTAAATTCATTTGTTATGTATGCAGATCTGTAAACTGGTCCTAAGGAAAGATAAATATTTGTAAACTTAGAAATATCTGCCACACAATCAACTTAAATTTAAAGTTTTCTTATCTATGTGTTAACAAAAAAGAGAATTCAAAGTTGTTTTGTTTTCCCTGTTATTGAATTTTCTTACTTCAAATGAACCTGCATGGATACATGTGTCTTTAGAGAGTTCTAATTGACAAATGCTAGTTGCAGAAAGGAAAAACTTAAAAGTCCTTGGGAGACTCCTAGCAACTTTTTGTAGGGTAATCTTGATAAATGCTATAGTCGTGATAATTGTGCAACTGTTGTGAAAACAGTTAAGCTTAATCTATACAAATAAACTTAGTGGGAGAAACACAAAAGAAAGCAGCGTGTGCTTGGTATCTGGTTGCTTTGAAGTACCGATCCCTCCATTTTTGTCTTGGATATACTGCACTGTTAGTATACCCCTTTGTTTTGTTTTACACATCTCAAAAATTACAAATTACCCCCCACCCCATCCCCAAAGAAAAATTATTATGCATTGTGAACTTTGAAGCATATGAATTAATATTTAGTTGACTATAGTGTGGAATACAAAAAAATCTAATACATGTTACCTATTTGAACTTGACTTGTTATTTCTTCGCATTATCATGAATTCCTTCTTTAAATATGTTTTTAAATAGTGAAGTATGACAAGGAATGGAAGGATATTATGTCAATATTATCATTTCCTCCTTAATTTAATTCATTCATATATATATGTCTGTGAGCATTCGATCAACTTTGAATTATGTTGAAAAGAATGGTTAACCATGAAGAATGGTATTAACCTATGGACGAAAGTTCTCAAATTTAATAAAATCACTGCTGTACATGTTTCAATCAACTTTGGAAAAAAGAATCAAAAGCCAATGTGTTTAATTTAAAGGCACTAACAATATATAAGGTGAACGGGGATTGTATGTCTTATTAATATATATTTAACTTTTGGCCAGAATTTAAATGCTTCGTTAATAGTATTGTGATATACATGTATGTATAGACCCTCATATATATATCACGCATATTGTCAGAAAAAAGAGGAAAAAACCTAATTAAGTTCTTTTAGTCTGAATTAAGTCTGTCAGCATATATATATATATATATAAAGCACTAAAAATGACCAACGACACGAACAATAATAATTGTCAAATTTTCGAGACGACCTATCTACTTAGTAGATCCGACACTTAGGAGATATATATATATATATATATATATATATATATATATATATATATATATATATATATATATATATATATATATATATATATATATTAAAAAACTGTAACATGTTTAAAACACTCTTTGAAATATTTCAATTGTGTTTCCAGCATTCATCAGTAGTGTTTATGAACATAAACATGTTTTATAAAAATATAAACATGACTGATGAAAGCCAGTAACATGGTTGGAATATTTACTTGCTAAGTAATTTGTGAATTGTAATATTACTTAATTTCTGTACTTCTGTACTAAGTAATAGTGAAACTCACCTAAAAGGAGTATGCCCTTGTTATCAAAGATTCAGAGGGATATAGCTTTTGGTCTGTCTGTTTGTCAGCAAAACTCTAACTTTGTCTATAAATTTTGATTAGTTGGAGCTAGGGCTGTCATATTTTACTTGTGTATTCCTTGTGACAAGACCTTTCTTTGGGTACCAACATATTTAACCCCTTGACCTTGGAGTTTGATCTCTTTTTTGCAAACTTTCACTAAACTTAGACATTGGGCATAACTTCTTTGAAATGTTGGTACTAGGGCTTTCATTTTTCATGTGTGCATTTCTTTTGACAAAACCCTTTCTTGCATACCATCATTTTTGACCCATGACCTTGACCTTGGAGTTTGTTCTACTTTTGAAGAACTTTAACCACCATAATTTCTGAATGGTTTTTGCAAGGGTTTTCATATTTCAGATGTGTATTCCTCACAAATGACAAGACTTTTCTTTGGGTACCAATATTTTTGACCTCTTCACCTTGACCTGGAGTTGGATTTGCATTCCTTGGCACTGAGCTGTCGGGGGCATCATTGTTTCATAATGTTGTTGGGATTTACGGATTTTTCCATTTCTGCATAAGAGTTATGTAATGATTACAGTCAATTTATTACAAAAAGAAATGAAAATTTTAGAGAAATTCCACTAGGAAAGGGGAATTGATGATATACAGAAGGAAACTTAAGTTTTGTAAACCATTGTAGTTTACATTTTTTTTTTTTACATTTTACTCTGTATTTGTGAAAATGTTTTTAAATTCATAAGAATGGTATGTAAATGTGTTTGATGCCTCGATAATGGCGGTAATAGTGTAGAATTTTAAGCTGAAGTATTTGTTTTGCAGTACGCACCGAAGTGTCTGTCACTAAAGATTTAAATCAGAGAGAAAATATGGATAGCGATTCACACGATATAAAATAAAGGTGTCAATATTTGCACCTGATTGAAAGATTTTGCTGTAAGCACTTCCAGCAAATATTGAGGCTTCCTAGGTAAATTAACCATTTACTTTTGACATATGAGAACATTACTGCTAAATACCTTGTTTTGAATTCTACTGTGTTGCTTAGATAGTTTTATTTAAATACATGTATTCAGGTTTCTTTTTCCTTCATTTTTCTTTATTTGCTGGCCATTTAAAAAAAAGATTTTTTGTACAGAATGAAATTAGATAAGACACTTCAAATGAAAAAAAAACCCAAATGGAATTAACCCCTAGTATAGGAAAAGTAAAGTATTAAAAGGGGATATAATATGTACCAGGGTTATCCCTAAGAGTTGAAATAGCAGGGGATATTCAAAAAGTACACGGCGGTCTGGGGTTCCTCCCTTTACAGGAAGTTAAGAGGGAATACCAGAATAACCGGGTGATAATATCATCATAGGCGGGGAAATTCCCTGGGCTGGCTATCTGGTCTTAGGGACAACCCTGATGCACACATGTCCAAAAGAGAAGCAAAATATCATAATCTTCATAATGGGGTTACCAAATTTCTTTTATACTACTGGGTCTGTAACAACATTTTTGGAAAAGTACATGGCTTATATTAATATAAATCTAGGTCACAAGGAACTGCAAGACTTGCCAGTATCCAGCTGATAAGTTGGTCTAGGAATCTGCAATCAGTTATGTTTTATATTCTACCATACAGTCATCTTTATGCAGTTTCTGGATGCTGGTGACCAATTTCATGAAGTTCCTGGGGAGCCATAGAACTGTTTAGTATATGTCTGTTGATTTTGATCGAAAGTGCAATAGAAATGATGCTCAATTGGTCAGTCTATAACTGTACAACACTGCCCGTGTAAATATGTATATGCTTTAACCTAAATATGCAGACTGATGAATACCAAACAGGAGACTGGTTAAAAGAAGGGTTATTAAATCATGGACGTAAGGAGCTATATGACTGTATACATATGTTCAATATACACTGTTTGTACATCATGGTACATTGACCATGATTTGTATGCTGTACTGTATACATAAGGTTATTTTCCCCTTTCACACCTACAAACAATTTTGTCCTGTTTTGAATTCGCCCATGCAGACACAGTTCTGTTTAAGAGATAATGCCGTTTTCTTTGAATTCTTCCAGTTTTAAATTTGCCCAATTGCAACGAGGGGGAAAGGGGCGAAAATAGAATGAGGGCGAAAATTTCCCTGTATACAGTATTTCAGTATTACATGTACATGTATCAGATTGCCATGCAGACAAGTCTCAATGGCAGCAGGATTTATATATGTATTCTGCATGAATTCTCAGTGTTTTATGAAAGGTTTCAGAGCAATAATCTTTATATATAATAAGTATAATTATCAGTCATCCTATTCAGCCATGCACAGGTGTAATGGTATGCATGGAAGTCAGAGGTGAAATGTATTTTTGGAGTGATTAATTAATGGTCATATTGACCAGTGGTATCTTTTACTTTGGTTTCCTGGAATAAATACATGTGTGATGTTGCTTCACTAGTTGTGGAAATCTTGGCTAATTTAAAAGTATGTTTAATCAAATGATTTTTTATTTCCATATATTTTATGCATAATTGCTCTTAATGGTAATTGCATGGTTATGCATTGGAAATAATAATTTGCATCTGAACCAGAACTTGTAATCAGCATTAATGTGTGGATATGGAATATACTGTTTTGTCTTTGATGTTTAGGTCTTGAAAGATTGTTTCTTTCCAAAATCCTTTCAGTTGTTTTTGGAAATCAGCACCTGAAGTTAGAATCAATTCCTTATCGACGTTCTTTTGTTGGATGGCAATGATTTAATAGAGACGGTTGGGTAATCTTTAATTTGGTGACGTACATGCTTTGATATTCATATTGTGAAGGCTTTCAGTGATGGAGTATAATTGGAAGCCAATGAATTAATTGATGATTTGAATTGTAAAAATCAATTCCTTTTAATACCCCCACTGATACATTTGTTGTTTATTAGCGGTGACCCTCCCATAATGTACTAGTCTACTAGAATTTCATTACTTATTTGGATGAAACCTTACTAAATGTGCTGCATCATCAATTTAGAAAAAAATACCCCAGTAACTTAATGTTTTAATTTTTGAGTAAATTATGGCAACTTATCAATTATTTGTTCTATTTGTATAACTTATTTGAAGTACAAAGACATTTATGTCATTATTTCAGTTTCATTTATTTATTTTGATAAGTGGTTCAGCTATACTGGAAAGTACAGGGAGTATAATGGTGCCACTTAAAATCATAAAGTGTATAAGTATAAAGCTTGAGGTAATAGGGATTAAAATCTGTGGCTTTTAATTTTGAATTGTAGCGTTTTGATTGTTCAAGCCGAAGGAACGTTTTATGTGTAATTGTGCATGAAAACTTTTGTGTGGAATTGAAAGATATAAAACACAATCAAGTAATACCGAAGCAGCTGTTTTTACAACTGGACAATGGCTTGATAATTTGATAACGGGTATTGAGCTGATCAACTTAAAAAAAGATATATAGTCTGTGTGTCGTGCCAGATTGGTGCAGACCCAGCTCTCCGTCTTGTTCAGCACCTAATCGAAGACCAAAATATTTCTATATATTTCTAAATGAGTAAACCTAACTCCATTGTTGGGTTCCCTTTGGAAGGTTATTTAAACATTTGTGTATTTCTTTGGTAATTTTGAGTCTTGTGAGCTCTTGTCTTTGAAAACTTTATGGATTTAAACTCGTTGTTTCTCATTAGTTAAACAAACATTGGTCTGTAGTGCTAGGGATAGGGGTCATTATTGAATTTTTTTTGCCGGGGAAAAATACTCCATTAAGGAGGACTTTCTAAACAGGTCCAATGGGCAAGGAAATGGGGCAGAACAAGACCATTGATCCATGAGTGTCGTATTTTATTCTTGAAGGTTAATAACTGCCATTTTTTTAAATTTAAGACTTAAGTTATGGCTTTGCAGACAATACTTGATTTAATTATTGAAATCTTGCTTTTGATGCAAATGAGTGGTCTAGGAAATGATCTGCGTATTAATGTGAGTTTAGGATACATCCATATCATGATGTTCTAAAACCAAAAAAAAATGTTTTAAGCGTTTTGCTGTTTTTAATAATTAATTGCACTAAAACATAAAGTAGATTGAAAGAAGGAAAGGAGAAATTGTTCTATGAATTATTTAGATGCAGGGCCACTTCCAGCAATGTAATAAGAAAAAATGGTGTTGCTTCTATCGGAAACATCATCAATTCTGATGTGCATTTCTGTCTGGTACCCATGTGACTGAATGTCATGCCTTGATACTCATGATGAATATTTTCCATAGAAGAAGTCAATGTTACTTTCATTCCATTGCAGATAACTAAATGACTGTCCATGAATATGAGTCGCAAAGGCAGTGCAGACATGAAAACCATCCCCCACACTCGAATTAATGATGAGAGTTGGATATGGGAAAATTATGAACCTGGGGAGAAAATTGGACAAGGCACATTTGGCAAAGTGTTCAAAGTCAAACATAAGGAAACTGGAAAGTACTGGGCCATAAAGGTCATCAACAAAGAAAAGGTAAAATGTCAAGGCCACATGTATAACATAAGAGGAAAACCAGTGATTCACAGTACAGTGTAAATAAGCATAGTTGTTCTTGGTATTTATTTTATTTAGCCTTTTGTGTTAGGTTAAATTTATCTTTTATATGGGAGGAAAATAAGGAAAGTAAAAAAAACATAATTTTCACATCTCATATTTACAAAAATAAGATATTTTGTGTGCAATATGAATGCTGCTTTTTGTGTATTTTCTTGTTTAGAAAAATTTGCAAAGAGAAATCTTTATGCTTATTTTAACATTTCCACAGTTATGACTAGTCTGTATCTGCAATATTTTTTTTTTCTGGAAGTAGAAAAATTTGACTGATTTATAATTAAGAGCAATTAATTTTTCACAGAGATTGAGATAAAACTGCTACAAATGCCATTGGGCCTTTGAAGGCTCTCTTTGTTCATGTTATTTACTTGTATGACTGTAGGTCAACAAATGATGAAATGATTTAATCTTTGTTCACAATATTTTTGCTGGCAAGGAAGTCGAAAGCCCTTGATGTCCTGTAGAAACCCTTCCTCCCCCTCTCCCCCCCCCAAAAAAAATATCTCCAGAAAAGACATCTGTTGGTTAGTTTGTCTGACAATCAATGACAATCTACCAATAAGTTGATCTGACATAGGAGATATGAAGTGTACATATTTGAGTGCATGTGCAGACCAGTATGTAGAGAGACCCCTCATTTTGGGGGTTGAGCTGGAGATGTCTAGTTGTGACAGCCAGATTAAGCTAGGATCGATCATACCACAACAGTCTAACAAGGGGTAGTCTAAACTCTGATCTATACCATCTGTGTGTTATTGTAAAACAAGTATAGCATGTAGGGATATTGAGAAGTTGCCTCTCTAATCAAAGACAACTCAATCAGTCCTTTTAGCCTTCTAGGTAAAATAGGACACATTTGCTGTGCTATCAAAGATTGGAAGAAAATTGCTTCTTTAGAAGATCTGAATGTAGATTATGAAAGGTTTAAATGATTTCTCTCAGTCTTGCTTTAAATAGAGAAATTGGGTAAGACCTTGTATTTATTGATCAAAGACAAAAAATGGACTGGAAATGCGGACCGTGGAATGGGTGAAGGTCAACTTGAGTAAGTTAAGAAAGATAAGGAAGGGTTGTAATTAAAGTATAATAATTATATATAAATTGTGCCAGGAGCCCCTAAACACTTGGATATGACTATAGGTAGCATATTGCTTTCTAACACCAAGGACTAATAATTGGGGCTGAATTTTTTGTCTGCATGAAAATATATACATAATTTTCCTTTGCTTTTATAGAGCAGGTGTTCATGCAGTTAAATTGCATTTTTTTTCTTTAATTCATCAGCTTTTACAGTAACAGGGATCCAGGCATCCAGCATAGACTCTGGATTCAATTGCAAATTACATATACCTGAATTGGAATGCATTATTTTTAGTTCAGAAAATTGCATTGCATTCGAAACGGTTTCTTAACATGTATAGATGGGCCATCAGCTCCCCCCCCCCCCCCCATTTGGCTTTTCCTCAACTATCTTGCACTGTTATTCCCTGACTACATTACATTGCTTTTCTGTGATTGGTATAACTATAAATCTTTATTCGATACCTCCTTTCCGAAATTTAAACTGGCCATGATAGTGCTTTGCATTAAATGATTACTCTTATCTATCTGAATTTTCTGTGTTTTAATTATAATTATAGTTCTTGTAAGTATATGTGAGTATGAAAGCACAGTGCAATCAGGCATGGGGTAATCATAATTGAGTAATCGTAATCGATTGTAATGATTACTTATTTTCAAGTAATTGACAGTAATCTGTAATTGAGATTTTCGATTACTTGTAATCATAAGTTAATTGGTTACAGCTAAAATTTTCAGTGTAATTATAATTACTTTTTCGATAACTTTCAATTACTTTATACATAAATGATTGTTACTTCGGAGAATTATTTTCAGTTATAGTCACACATAAATATCAAGCACAAACCACCCAGTGATACATATGTATGCCTTGATTTTATAACGTTATTATGTGGTAAATTAATTTTTTTTTCCTCCTTACAGGCAGTAGGACAAGTATGATATTTGTTTTCCTCCTTACAGGCAGTAGGACAAGTATGATATTTGTTTTTCTCCTTACAGGCAGTAGGACAAGTATGATAATTGTTTTCCTCCTTACAGGAAGGAGGACAAGTATGATATTTGTTTCCTCCTTACAAGCAGGAGGACAAGTATGATAATTGTTTTCCTCTTTAAAGGCAAGAGGACAAGTCTGATATTTCTTTTCCTCTTTACAGAAGGAAGATAATTATATAATTTGTTTTCCTTTTTACAGGCTGGAGGGCCAGTTATAAAGTTACTGGAAAGGGAAGTGAATATTCTAAAACGTGTTCAACATGAACACATCATCAGCCTCAATGAAGTGTTTGAAACTGCCAAGGTAATATCTTTTATACCTCCCACCAAAGGCAAGCAAATATCAGTGTTTACATTTTCTCAGATTTATGACTTTAATCCCTTGTGCTTTTTTAGCAGGAAATCAAAAAAAATCTTTCAATGTGAGTTGATTAAAAAGGAAGTGATAAATGAAGGGAGCTGAAATATCGGTCTTGTAAATAAGATTAATTTGTTTTGATAAAAATGATTTATTGCTTTTATTTGGGGAAAAAAGTTTTGTGAGATTTAGATGTGAAATGAGAGACTTTGATTATACATATAATAGGTAACTTAAAGATCCATGGTTTAACATTTCTAAATTTTGTATGTAAAGAAATTCTTTGCATGTAGCACAGTTCAAGCTAGCTCCATCTAATGAAATTCAGACTCGTAGACATGTCAATTCTAGATGTTTTTATATATATTTAAATACCAATGCATAAATAGAAAAAAATAGCTTTCTATTTAGAAATGTATATAAAAAAAAAAGTTGTCTCTTATTTCAAACTATTTTGTATGTTTTTCCGTAGAAAATGTACCTGGTGATGGAGTTGTGCGAGGGTGGTGAATTGGCGGATGCTGTGAAAAACAGAGAACCTGTTCCTGAAAATGAATGCAAGATTATCATGACAAGATTAGCTAATGCCATATCATACCTCCATAAAAATGGTTTGTTTTTAATCAATGATTTAAGGATTTAATACACCCCCCCCCCCCCCCCAAAAAAAATGTTCAGAAAATTAAAATTAGGATCGTTGGAATAAATGAAGTTGGTTTCCTTTTTTGAAAGTTTACAAGTCTGAGAAGCATTAAACATGCTAAATGTAGTAGTATGTATACATACAATTGAACTTCAGTATCTCGAACACGGATATCTCGAATACCATGGATATGTCGAAGTCATTTTGAAGTCCCAACTACTTATTTTTTAAGTATTTTACCTAGGATATCTTGAAGCCTCGATTATCTCAGAATTATTTTCTCAGTCCCTTTGAGTTTGAGATAACGAGGTTTGACTGTATAAACCATATTCATCAGTTCTTTTAGTAGATTCAGAAGAAAATTATTATATAAATGTATACATTACATTCAAAATAAGATGGCTCAGTACCATGACAACATATTTTGATAAAGAAAAATAATTGGCATACAAATGTATTTTTTCTATAGTCCCAGTAAAAGGTATGTTGTTTCTGAAAAATGCAGAATTTAAAAACCTTGAGATGGCACATGAAAAGGGAAAATGACATTGCAATCTATTGACCCAAACATAATTTAATAGAATCAAAACAATTTATGAACTAGATTAAAACAGTAATTTTTCTGTATATACAGTCAAACCTCGTTATCTCAAGCTCCATGGGATCAAGAAAAACTTTGAAATATTCGAGGATTCGTGATATCCTGGATAAAATACTTAAGGAATAAGGGGTTAGGACTTCAAAATCACTACGAGTATTCAAGAGATCAGTGTTCCAGATACTGAAGTTCAACTGTACCTTACTTATGCTGAAGCATCTAAAACATTATAAAAACAAAAACAGGTTTTATATGTGACACCAAATTTAGTATGTAATATAGAAATTTTCATCATTTGACAGGAATGGAGTCATTTGAGCTCCTTCAATAATGAATAAATAATCAATATTGATGAAGTTATATCTTGCGAATATGTGTGCCAACAGTGCATAATTTATTTTGATATATCAAAATTAATGTAATTTTTTTTTTAATCATGCTTCAGACATATTTTTTGAAGTACTACATAAAGTAAAAAAAATGTAAAATTATGAATCATATCACTTCATTTTAGTGCATATACATGTATATGTAAATATAATGATAATATTTATTCATTTGCAGACATAGTTCACAGAGATCTGAAACTGGAAAATATTCTTCTAGCTCAGAATCCTGATAATGTAGAAGATAAACTGTACATCAAAGTAAGAACACGTATATTTTCTTATACGTAGGTTAAGCGTGAAAGCGAGTTGAAAATGTTACACTATTTTCATGTTCAGACTACACCAATTAGTTTTATTCTGACCATATTTTATTTTTTTATGTTAAGTAACAGAATTTCATTTCATGAACATGTTTTTAAAATGGATAAACCGATCACAGTATTTTGTTATTTATTGTTACTTAACAAATCATTATCTCAATATTCTTATTTCAATACCTTAGTTTATAATATCTGTAAAACACATTTCACACCTCCTACAGGTAACAGACTTTGGACTATCAGTGGTTAAAGGGGGGACCGGTCATGATAATATGATGCAGGACTTCTGTGGGACCCCCATATATATGTGTAAGTTCTGTTTTTAAGAGATTTGTCATGTAAAATAAAATTGTTATGAACAATTTTATGAAATTTGTGTAAACATCAAAAAATGGTACCATTTACATTAAATGTACATGTATACACTTAGTTATAAATTAGGGTACTTCTTTATACTAGATGTATTCTGCAAAATACAATGAAGTAATTACTTCACTTCTTCATTTTAGCTCCAGAAATTATAGACAACAAAACATATAGCCAAAATTGTGATGTATGGGCCATGGGTGTTATATTATACATAATGTAAGTACTGGGATGATACTTTTCAGAATAATATGTTTATCAGTGTGGCCATTGGGCAAGCACAGTTGTGCATTTTTTTTTTACAGGATACCATTTAAAAAATTGACATCTAGCTTACACTTTCAATTTAGATTTGCTTCTTTAAATGGCACATTACTCGATCAGTTTAGACTCTGACATCAAATGACATTGTATATTTGTTACATTTCCAGACATTTACAGAGTTTGAAAAAAGTAAAAATTCTTAACAGAGTGTTTATTCTGCTATGTGATTTTTATTTGGGAACCTTTGTTTGGTTGTCCTGAGAACATGCATTGTTTGGACAGGCATATGCAATTTTTGGTGATTGTGGGTATACCGATATTACTGCGGGAAAAAAATTGATTGAATCATTGTGCAAGTCCAAATTTTTCTTTTACCCAAACTTTGCTCTAAGAGCTTGCTGTATTAGCTTTTAAATAAAGTTCATTGAAAAGATTTATATTACCATACATATGCCTGTGATGTGTGAATGGAAGAAATCAGGAAGGACAACTCTTGCCACACAATATCTCTGATGTCTCTGTAGGAGTTGCTGCACTTTGTTTGGTAGCAGCAGAGTGTACTGTATATCTTTTATATGTACATATTACTTGTACCTATGATCTGGATTGATTTCCGTAAATACATGTGTGTAAAAAAGTATTTTTAAAGTAAATACACTGTCAGACTGAAGTAATGTTTAGTCATTGAAGGTTAAGAAATGTTTAGTCATTTGATTGTTAATAATTTGATGATTTTATTTTTAATAATTTGACGATTTTATTGAAGGTTAAGTGGGAATCCGCCTTTTAAATCAAAAGATGAGGACTCGCTATATGAACTAATTAAAAAAGGAGAACTAGATTTCAGTGAAGAAGTCTGGTCAAAAGTCAGTGATAATGGTAAGGCTATAGTTTCTAAAGATACACTGAATGTACACCTATAAATAAGATATGTCCACAGAAATCAAAATGTTAACACCTTATCACAGTTGAAATGAATATCTTATGTGAGCTCGAGGCTAAATTTAATGCAATCTGTGCTTAGGATTTTTCTAATGAAAGAATGTGTCTTGGACAATAGTGGAGAAATTGTTTATTGTATTTCATGAATGAGTTGTGAAAATTGCCTTAACTTATCTTTCTGAAACATTATTTGTTAGAAGATTTATTTAGAATTGCAATATATTTAGCTAAATCCATACTTGAGAAAATGATGAGAGTCGACCCAGCTCACAGACTGACAGCTACAGAAATGCTACATCACCCATGGATCACAGTAATAAAAAGTTTTCCTTGATTCAGAATGTTACAACTATTACATACACTTCAGTTTGTTCATATAGCATGAAGATTGTTCCAGCTATTAATATTGTAACATAAATAGTCTCATAAGCAAAAAAATTTAAATTTTTTCACAATTGGTTATGCAGAAATTAATAGTAAGTGTTTTGTATTATTGATTTGCAGGGAAATGATGCACAGCAGGAGTCGACTAATGTGTTAGAGTTGATGAAGATGTTCCGAGACGAACAGAACCAGAAGACAGACGACAGTGCAATAAATGGGGACCTTAGTGAGCTGGATTTGGGTGGCTCAAATGACAGTTCAGAGGGCAACACTGTTAAGGTATATACTAGCTCAATAACAGTTCAGAGGGCAACACTGTTAAGGTACATAGTAATTCAATAACAGTTCAGAGGGCAACACTGATAAGGTACATCTTAATAACAGTTCAGAGGGCAATACTGTTAAGGTACATACTCACTCAATAACAGTTCAGAGGGCAACACTGTTAAGGTACATCTTACTCAATAACAGTTCAACACTGATAAGGTACATCTTACTCAATAGTAGTTCAGAGGACAACACTGTTAAGGTACATACTAACTCAATAACAGTTCAGAGGACAACACTGTTAAGGTACATACTCACTCAATAACAGTTCAGAGGACAACACTGTTAAGGTACATACTCACCCAATTACAGTTCAGAGGACAACACTGTTCAGATATATGAACTGAAGAACTAGGAGTGAAACGGTTCACCGCGGTATCGATTCACCGCGGTATTTTTTCTCGGTTTGATACATGGTGCAAATCTCTAATTTTCGGTTCAGTTCATTTTTCGGTCGGGATCGTTATTCAGTCAGGTTTGGCAAAAGGAAAAACACTTTAATCAGTATAAATAAGTATAGAAAATGTAAATTTTTGATGACTGATAGCTTGTAAAATAATTTTTGACAGTGAAATGATTTTAATCAATTTCTTCAAGTCAATTTGCAAATAAAATTCGTAAAATATGTGACTAGATTTAGAAAAAGAAAGCATAAAACAACGTTGAATTTGTTTCCTTCTATCAAAATGTATCGTATCGAAAATAACCAAATCGAGACAAAATTATACAATATGTATCAAACCGTGAAGGAGGTGTATCGTTTCACCCCTATGAAGAACAGTCCAGAAGTCACTACTGTTACTGTATCTTTTAAACTTCATGGCAGTTTAGAGGAAAATACTGTTAAATATTTCAATTTAAGAAATTTCAGAGATCAGCAGTGTTAATTAAGGTATTTAAGCTTAATGATAATGCAGTGATCAACAAGTTTTAAAAATATACTGACTTAATAACAGCTCAGAGATCAACATTGTTAAGGTGTTAATCAATAAATTAAGATGGGAAACAGACATTTGGAATGTATTACAATATCATGTACATGTGTATAATATTTGTAATATAATTTGTAATTAATATGAAGTATGATGTGCACATGTACTGTAAACTCACTTATTTTGGTGGGGTAAAATTTTCGTGGTTTAAGGAAAAATCATTGTTTCAAAGGGATTTAATTTTGTTGTTAAAGGAGAAATATTATACTGTACTTAATATGACATTTTAACATTGCATGGAAGGTATGAATTTGTGGGTCTCTTCAAACCATGAAAACTACAAAGTTTAACACCCATGAAAATTAGTGATTCCACAGTATTTTGATAGTTTTTGTGATGTCATTACATCAAAGCTCATATTATGAGACAGATATTATTTTAGCAGAATGGAAATACAAGGAAAGGTTCAGGAGGAGTGAAAAAGCCTGGGTCAGGAGGTAAATCTGGGGTAAGTGTTCAGGGAATGTCATGTAAATTATGATCAGAATAGAATACTAAGGATATAATTTCATTTGACTGCTAAATGTTGTCAATGACTAGGCTTCATAGTATAACCTTCATCTTATTTGAATTTTTATGTTTGAAAAATAGTAGGTATGGCTTATTTAAAGCAAGTTTTGCATATATTTTAAAACTACTTTAAAGGAAATTTTTTAAGATGTACATTTATCTTTTCTGTGGTTTGTTATCAGTTTGTTTTGTTTCACAGCCTTCAGCAGTACGACAAAGTAGTCAGGTTTCGTCTCATTCTAAACCCTCCACATCAACTTCCAAGCCAAGTGCCAAAACACCCACCCCTACCAAAATACAGACAAACAATAAACTATCAGTCAACACCAGGGCCACGCCCACCCCATCTGGAAGGGGGCGGGGCACCAGGAAATGACCAGTATTATTGAATTGTAAACTATGCACAGTGAGCCAGTGTCATGGAGATATGTGTTGCCTCAGAAACTAAATTGTGATGTGACAGAGAAGGGAATTCAGATGATTTATCTGTACAACAAACTTTATCTCATAGCTCTTTATTGTTTTTATGAGGGGATGGAACATTATACACAGACTTGGGACTTTCATGTGGATATTTTGTTTTTAATATAGAGAGAAACATGGTACTGCTTGATGTATGTGTTTTGAATTTCAAGCTCACTGCTGAATTTTTAAGTCCGTCCAGCTGTCTGTATATATTCCAGTATTATAAAGAAATGTCCTCGTGTGTCATTATGTATGTGAAGATCCAACTCTGTGGTATATTCAGGACCTCTTTGTTAAAAATGAAATGATTCTATGTGAGCATGGGTGAATTTGAAAATGATGCCATGCAAATGTTGGTTACCAAACAATTGCAAAATTGAAAAACTACTTATCATTAATTGAACGCCAGTAGAGACCAGTCCTTTATGTCTACTATTTTATGTAGTTTCTTACCTTAAGAAAAATTTCTCCCAGTTTGTCGTATGTAGTAAATATTGCAAAAGATTCTTACTTGAAGATCAAGGTTTGAACAGATATTTGTGTAAATTCCTTTCTTCACTGAAGTGTTTTTATAATCCATGGCCTTACTGCAGTCATATTTAAACAGAAAAAAATAGAGCCTTATTTTTAGATTCACCATCTTGTGATAGTCTCATTTAAAAGCCTTTCTGAAGTGTCAGAAAACTACAGATCAATGGCATTTGATATATTCTGGTATATTCTGTAAGTGCTAATCAAGTTATATGAATTAATGAACAGTCAGGGGTGATACTGAAATCCGTCATTTCTGAAAAATGATGGATAATCGTCATATTTACTAACTACGTATTTTCGTCATTTTTGTCAATATGACTTACTATCGTCATATTTTCTTTTTCAACTTAATTCTTCTATCCTGGTTACATAAAAGCGAAATTTGAATTCACCGCTGAAAGAAGAGTGTTTACGCAAGTTCCATTTCATCCGGGTCACTAATTACTGCCGACCAAGTGCGTTAGAACATCAACATGGAAGGTGAAAGTTATTATTTAGCGGTAAAATGTCGAATTTTGGTAGAACTAATTCGCCATTTTTACATGGCTTTTAAACCTATAAAAAGATATAGTACACCGTCTGGAAGAATACGTACTTGTAGAGAAAAGTCTCGACAAAAAGTTAAAGCCATAAAAAAGTAGTGCGCCCCGTAAAACAAGCGAGATATTTCAGTGCACCCAGACCCTCCATTTTGAAAAAAGACGGCATATCGTCATTTTCGTCTTCTTTCCTATTTAATGCAAATAAATTGACAAATAACTCTTCCACTCTTATTTTTGCTTGGGAAATTTGTACTGTCGACATAACCAGTATTGTAGTCAACTGTATTAGAGAAATGAAGTTTGTTTACGATGTTTTTTGTCCTTTTTTCGGTTGGTGGATCTAACATTTTTCAAAGAGAGGTAACTCCGTATTCTTGTAACACTCTAAATTTTTATGACTGTTTTACGTCATTTTCTTAAAAATGACGAGTTTAAGTCATAATAAAAATTTTATTTTATGACTAAAAATCGTCATTTTAAAAATGATGGATTTCAGTATCACCCCTGACTGTTTAACTGTTTTTTATCAGCATATGTTTTACTATATTTGCTAACAGAAGATATTTGTTATAACCTGTATTGAAATTGGATCTTAAGAGGGCTGGGTGGCCATGGCCATACTAAGACTATTTAAACCAGTTCTGTGTTAAAGTATAGAAATTGCATTAAATATGGCTTGATTATTGGGTATATTTTTGACAAGTCAGTAGATTATGGCTAGTAAAATTGTATTTCAAATTTTTAGTTAAACTGTTTTGTAATTAGTTGACCACTCGGCCTTCTTAACTATGTTTCTAACTTAATGAACAAGTTAGATTTAAATGGACTAAGCTTTATGGTTGAAAAGTTTTCAGTAACAGTTAGTTATTCCCTTTCAAGTGCCTATTCCTATTTTAGTTTTTCTGCCTTTGGTGTGTAATTAAGGTTCACTGACCCTCTCATAAGAGAGATAACTCTGACTAGAATAAATGACTATAATTCTGTTATAAAACTGTGAAGTTTAAAGGCAGTTTCCTTCACATTTTGCAAAGTACCAGGTATGCTGAAATTGTGTTCATTTTAATTATAAATTGGATTTCTTTCTGATGTAAATTTTTTTATGAGTGAAAAGAGGGCTGATGAACCTTAATTTAAATATTGATTTATTTTGATTTTACTATGTGCATTAAATAGTTAATCTGACTGGGTCTCACAAATTTAAACCAGTAACTATTATGTGTATTAAAAAAATTTAAGAAAATGATGTTTTTTTCTGACAATATTTTCACTGTATGTCATTGGTATTGAATTGCTTCTCAAAAGAGACCCATCTGGTTTTTGTGCCAAATGTATTACACCAGGGTGTTTTAATATACTGTCTGTCTGCGTGTGTGCATGTGTGAAAACCCCACCCCTTAGAGGCTTTGTGTGTTGTTTATTTTATCTGTTAATATATTGTCTTGCCATTCTATTTTTTTTTTTTCAGTTTGAGACTGTGATGAAAATGTTTTTCTTTTGTGTGTATCAAAGACCTGAATATCATTATGCATTCATCATCAAACTTTTTCATAAATTTTTATTTATTTACGGTTGGAATTGTTGAGAATTTGCAGGTTTAGTTATTGTATTTGTTTTTTTTTTTATTCAGTTAGAATTTCTGTTTGATATATCATGAATACAGAAAAATTTATTTGTTTAAATTTTTACCAACAGCATTTTGTCGAAATTTAGTGAAAGCACATAGTACAAAACGTACAATCTACAAATAACAATTGATATAAAAATTACTTCTTGTATATATAATGATTTGGATCTCATAAGACTCAAATCTTCGTGATTAGTTGTGTGGAATATTTACAATAATTATGAATATGTATATGCTATAAGTAAAAGCATTGTAATTGCCTTCTAAACACTTGCTGCTGAGGTTAAGATATTTTCCATATTTGAAGAACATAGCATTATTGTTTATATGTTTGCCAATAACTACTGCTCATTTTTCCAATATAAAAGTATGAAAAAGCATTATGAAATTATTAATATATCAGGATTTTTATGTTTTTGTAGTTCTCTTAAGATGTTACTCTAAGTAACTGGGAATTGTTGAGTGGCATGGGGGTATTGTTTTCTAAAATTATTCTGTTAGTTATTGATAAGCAAAAATGCAAGACTAAATTTTCAGTAGATGTTCAAAATGTCTATAATGTACCTGTTTGTCAATTTTAGTGCTAGTATTTGTAGAGTTGTATTGATTTATCAAACTATAATTTTCTGTTTAAATGTATTTAAGAAGGAAACTGTTAGTATATGAAATCAAAAAATGTCAACTTAGATATTTGAATTGTGTTCATAGGTATAAGCTTTGTATGAATTGTAGAAATCGTATTCTTGTTTTAATTTTCATTCATTTTTTGTGAGGGATGTCAGATAAAATTTTTATTTAAGAAGGGAGAATCAAATAAAAATGATGGTTAGATAATGGATTGTTCTTTCTTCCTCTCTGGATTGTTTCTTATTGCTTTTTGGATTGATGTATATTTAAACAATAAAATGCTTTCTTTGGTTGTTAGTACGGGAATTAATGTTGCAGCTGTTGTAGAAAAAATACATAACCCGCTTACGCGGGTTATGTGAATTTTTTTCAGCAATAGCTGCGACGTTAATTCCCATACTAACAAACAAAGACATTTTATTGTTTATATATATATCTTTATAAAAAATCATTCAGAGTAAATTAAATATGATAAATTTTGTATTATTTAAGGAATGAATTTAATAGCTACCCATTTTATACGGTATAAACTGGGTTGGGGCAGTTTATGCTTTATAAACCGTGAAGCGGTTTATAAAAAAGCGTAAACTGTTCCAACCCAGTTTATACCGTATAAATTGAGTAGCTATTAAATTCATTCCTTATAATTTAATTTTCATTCATTTGGTTTAAGAAAAAAAGATGATTGTCCTTAAAAAAAATGGTTTTTATAAGAAACAAAGGAAATAATATTCAGTAGATGTAAATATTTTCTTCACAATGTATTTTGATGTATCACATTTCGATTTATAGAAATCAGCAAGATTCATTGTGGGAACCCACAGGTTTTCTCTAATCACCTTTATCAATTGAATGTAGTGTCACCAAGAGAAAACCTGTGCATCCTAACGACGCGAAAGACTAGATGTGACATCTACATATGTATATTGCAATGTTGTAATTTTGAATTCTGACTAATGTAAATAATATAGAATATACCTTAAAACTGATTTATATGATCATGAAAGCCTGCTATTCAAGCGAAAATTAAATCAGTTCTTAAAAATAGAGATCTAATCAGTATATCCTAGAAGTGGATGAGGTTTCTTTGAAGAATTATATGTTTGTTTGTTTTGTTGTTGTTGTTTTTTGGGTTTTTTTTTTTCAAATTATCTACTTAAACTAGAAAATGGGCTCATAAAATGATACTCCCCATTCCTCGCTAAAAGTATAATGACAAAGTCCATATTTTGCTAATTGAAACCCCAAATATGTGTCCGATCAAAACGTTAAACAGGAGGTGCACAATGGCACTAGGCAATGAACATTCCGTGAAAGTCTCATTAAATTTTATTCAGTGGTATAGAAGGAGAGATGAGTACCCCCAATATTACAGAAAGAGTGGCAGTGTCTCCGTTTTGCTATGAGTATCCAATCATAAAGCATTCATTTATTAGAAAGAATGCAGTGTCCATGTTTTGCTAAGGGTAATCCCAAACATATGTCCAATCAAAACGTTTAATAGGATCTAGGTGCACAATGGCACTCTGTAATATTCTGGGAAAGTCTCCTCAAATTTTATTCAGTGGTATAGGAGTTACGGATAAGAAATGGTACCCCAAGCGTAACGGATGGACGGACAGACGGACGAACGAACCCCCCCCCCCTTCCCCACGCTTTTCAAGCGCAGGGTATAAAAATAGAGATTATTCAACACTAATGCTTCAAGTGTTGAAAAGATATATTTGTCTTTCCTCTTTTTCCTCTTAAAACATATATATGTATTTAGTTCTTAAAACTAGCATTCAATATTATATATATATATATATATATATATATATATATATATATATATATATATATATATATATGACTTTTTCTTTTCAAAATTATAGAAAGCCATTTTTTATATTCGTCGCCTATTGCAGTTCAACTCGTCCTCCGCTGTTAAAGTTTATCAATTTTTTTGGCTGGAGTAGTTACTTTCTTGGGAGTTGTTTGATATTGTAACTTCTTTGCTGCTTTCACGTTTGTTTTCTTTTTTATTTCCTTTGACACGTAATTCTACAAATAGAAGTAATATCATTAGAACAGGGTGCTAAGCCAAATCTTTTGTGAAAGGTCATAGGAAACGATTCTTAACACTAGGATTTAATTTTTTAACCTAAAGCTATATATGAAAGAATGTTAAATTACGAGCAGTAATATTTTTTGGCCTTTGTTCTACTGAAAAATAAAGGTGAAAACTTTTCCACTTGTTACTTTTCTTACCCGCTTATCGTTCTTGATTTTGTGGTTTTATGACGTCACAAGAGCCCACTGATGTAAACAGAGCATTAGACTAATGTATTTCTACCATATTTTATCTAGTTATTTAAGCTATTTTTGTAAATATAAATGAGTCTATGTTTTCAGGTGAGTTATCTGATTTCGTAGTTCAGTCAATTCAGTTTGAGCGAGTCGTTAATAAGGCACGGCAACTCAAAACTGGAGCTTTTTATCGGAGGATGATCCTGATGAATATCCTATATAAAATTACGTTTAAATTAAGCTACAACTTCGATTACTTACTCTACATCAAACCTTTAGAAACAAAAAAATATTTCCCTGTTTAATACACATATACGACATACCAAGAGGATTTCATCGTCATTCAAAAAAGTTATTAAGTCTTTTTTTATTCCAAGAAAAATCGCATAATGCAACATAGAATAGAGCAATTTACTAAAAGTGACCTTTTCTGCTTAGAATAAAAATTTTGATTAAGCCTATAATATTCTGTTAAAGAAAGGTATATGACACGTATGTGGGGAATATCCCTAACGTGAATCCCCAAAATAAACACTGGGGCCAGTGATAAGTCAGATATCTTTTTTTATTTTTTTTATTTATTTTTTTTTTTATTTTTGCTTACTTGGACACTTTCGAACAAAACATCTTTTAAAGTCTTCGTCCTTCAATGATCCGGGACATTTCTTCCCGCCGTGGTTTGGTTCCGGATTGTTACATTCCCTGTACCGGTACCGATACTTTACACCATGACCACATGTCTCTGAGCAGTGCCGGAAGTGACCCCAACTACCCCAGACACTCCATTTACCGTCCTCTGAAGCATACGTTATGTTACAAAAAAACAGAAGCATGCATATATAACATTAAAGATATTCATTTCTGGATCTTTTGCGAGTAAATAATCTGGAGTTTGGCGGTTGTTACAGTCCCCGAAACGTTCTACTTCTCTATTTTGCGTTCTCAATCTCAACGTTCATAAATATTTTTTAGATCTCTGCTCAACGTTGAACTATTTTACCGTTTGCTGTCTATTCGCTGAGTGTTCATTCGCCCTTCATATTTTTATGTAAAAAAATATCTAAAGGGAAAGGAGAAAAATGCGATGGACCAGAACAGGATTGATTCCATCCCCTGAATCACCAGTCAGGTGCTCTACAAACTAAGCTACCTGGCTACCGGTGATCGAACCTGCCTGACTACCACATTCCTCTCTCCTTAAAGGCCTCTGAAGAGACCAACCCAGGGTCATCCTTGGCAGGATTTTCACCTGTCATTTCCAGGGCATGGTGCCAAGGGCACAAAAATATAACCGTCCAGAACAGGATTCGAACCCAGACCTGAATCACTAGTTAGGTACACTACCAGCTAAGTTATCTGGCCACCGGCGATCCAACATGTCTGACCGCCATATCCCCCCTCCCCTCCTTAAGGGCCTTTCACCTGTCACTTCCAGGGCATGGTATCGCACTAAATTTAAGTGGAAAGGAGAAAAATGCGACAGACTAGACTAGGATTCGAACCGGGGCCCCCGAACCACTAGACGGGTGCTCTACCAACTGCGCTGTCCAGGCGCGGATCCTGGATGTAATACACTGAATTCATTTAGAAAACTAAATTTTGTCCTCTTTTTATTTTAAAGTCCATGAATTAAAATAAATCCATGATATATTCCAGGATCTATACATGTACATGTATATATTTTTTTCCAAATTTACAATTATCGTTTATGGTGGTTTTGAACGATAGATGTCAAAACTGTTTTTTATGAAATACTGAAAAAATGTATCTGTGGTAATTTTACGCATCTTAATAAACCCACTTATTTCAAAATATAGAAATCATCAGTCGGTAAACAATTAATCTCTATGTGCTCCTTCATTGTGAGATCACCGTTCAAAGGAGTAGTAGATCATTTCAATGGCTATTCTGTACCAGTGTTTTGAATTTTAGATTCATCCTCCTTATGCTCAGTGCTCTCTCTCATATTAAATTTTGCTTTAACGCTTATGGTTTTCCAGAAATTAATCTAAGTTAGATTTAAGATGCACACAATTCCAGCATACCTTGCAGGACAAAATGTGACAGGAAAGGCATGTTAACTTGACATTTTCATAAAGGAATGATAGCCAATTATCTTACTGAGAGTTATCTCTCTTTTGAGAGTATCAATGAACCTTAACTAAATGAGAAACACTGAATATTTTATTTACCTGGACAATGTTGAACATTGCATATGCTGTAGTCTTTTTCCTTGTCCTTCCCTTTGCACACCTTTCCATCCTTGGACGGTGTAGGATTGGTACAGTACCTAACTCTCTGTCTAAACTGTTTTCCTCCCTCACAGGTTTTAGAGCATGTCTTGTAGTCACCCCAGTTCCTCCATGTGCTCCACCCTCCGTCAACTGTACAAATTGTGGGGTGTAGATTTATGGTATTGATCTTAAACATTGAGAAATTTCAATATTGTATAATCATTATGCACAAAAGGGCCTTAATAAAAATCACGTAAGCCTTAAATATTACTTGTACAGCTGTATACCTTTGCATTTCTTGAGGAAACACTTCGTATATTTGTTCATATATGAGGACCCTTGGCAGATTTTCCCACCACACCTAGGGGCTGGATTGGAACACGTTCTCTGCCTTTTCCACTGTTGCTGTCCTTTGTCACACGTCCTTGAGCACGGACTAATCAATTTCCACTGTGTCCAGGAACCCCAATTCCCATCAACTGGTAAAGAAAATAAATCTTGTCCTTATATTAATAGAAAACCAAAACTCGGCTCTAAACTTAATTTATTGATGAAATTACAGAAAAGATTTTGTTCTCTGTTCTAGATTCTAAATAAAAATGAAGGATATGGTCTGGGTAACTGATTCATGTTAGTATTGAAACCAGAAGTCTCTGACGAGACTGTAGCTCTACTGGTTGTATTTATAAAGGAAGATAAAAGTAGCACTTGGACTTGAAACTTTGCAACAGCAATAAATAGAATAATGATCCTTGGTTTAGTCTCTTTTGTGGCAAGATTTATTATTATATCAGACTAAAACTGTAGGAGGAGTAGCCTTTTAAAACAATTTTACAGATATTTTGATTTAAGTAACCATGGAAACATCATTCAACAAAATCAAAAAACAATAACACCAATTATGTATCTCTGTAGTCTACTTGTATGCCACATAATACTGAAATCAGACAAAAAGTATAGGAGGAGTAGCGTTTTGAAAGTATTTCAAGAAAATTTCTATTTTTAGTAACCATGGCAACACTGTTCATCGAAATCCGAAACTGGTACAGAGAATTATGCATCTTAGTGTAGTTTACTTGTGTGCTAAGTAATACTAAAATCAGACCAAAACTGTAGGGGTAGCATTTTGAAGGTATTTCAAGGAAATTTATATTTTTAGTAACCATGGCAACAATGTTCATCGAAATCAGAAATCAATACAAAGAATTATGTATCTTAGTGTAGTCTACTTGTTTGCCAAGTTATACTGAAATCAGACCAAAACTGTAAGAGGAGTAGCATTTTGAAAGTATTTCACAGAAATTTCCTTTTTTAGTAACCATGGCAACACCGTTCATCGAAATCAAAAACCGATACACAGAATTATGCATCTTAGTATAGTCTACTTGTGTGCCAAGTTATATTGAAATCAGATCAAAACTGTAGGAGGAGTAGCATTTTGAAAGTATTTCACAGAAATTTCTATTTTTAGTAACCATGGCAACACCATTCATCGAAATCAAAAACCGATACACAGAATTATGCATCTTAGTATAGTCTACTTGTGTGCCAAGTTATATTGAAATCAGATCAAAACTGTAGGAGGAGTAGCATTTTGAATGTTTTTCACAGAAATTTCTATTTTTAGTAACCATGGCAACACCATTCATCAAAATCAAAATCCGTTACACAGATTTATGCATCTTAGTGTAGTCTACTTGTGTGCCAAGTTATATTGAAATCAGACTAAAACTGTAGGAGGAGTAGTATTTTGAAAGTATTTCACAGAAATTTCTATTTTTAGTAACCATGGCAACACCATTCAACGAAATCGAAAACCGATACACAGAGTTATGCATCTTAGTATAGTCTACTTGTGTGTCAATTTATATTGAAATCAGATCAAAACTGTAGGAGGAGTAGCATTTTGAATGTTTTTCACAGAAATTTCTATTTTTAGTAACCATGGCAACACCGTTCATCAAAATCAAAAACCGATACACAGAATTATGTATCTTAGTGTAGTCTACTTGTGTGCCAAGTTATATTGAAATCAGACCAAAACTGTAGGAGGAGTAGCATTTTGAATGTTTTTCACAGAAATTTCTATTTTTAGTAACCATGGCAACACCATTCATCAAAATCAAAATCCGATATACAGATTTATGCATCTTAGTGTAGTCTACTTGTGTGCCAAGTTTTATTGAAATCAGATCAAAACTGTAGGAGGAGTAGCATTTTGAAAGTATTTCACAGAAATTTCTATTTTTAGTAACCATGGCAACACCATTCAACGAAATCGAAAACCGATACACAGAATTATGCATCTTAGTATAGTCTACTTGTGTGTCAAGTTATATTGAAATCAGATCAAAACTGTAGGAGGAGTAGCATTTTGAATGTTTTTCACAGAAATTTCTATTTTTAGTAACCATGGCAACACCGTTCATCAAAATCAAAAACCGATACACAGAATTATGTATCTTAGTGTAGTCTACTTGTGTGCCAAGTTATATTGAAATCAGACCAAAACTGTAGGAGGAGTAGCATTTTGAAAAATTGTTTACAGACGGACGGACAGACAGACAGACAGACAGACGGACGGACGACGGACACCTTACTATCGCATAAGCTCTTCTGGTCTCTGACCAGTAGAGCTAAAAATTGACTGTATGTTTCCCTGAACAGCTGCTGATAATACCTATAGAGTGGAGTACTTTACAGGACCGGGTAGACGATTGTCCAGTTGAACCACGACATTGTTTCCCTCCATTTTTGGGCGACGGCTCGGTACAGGACCTGGACCTATATCGCTTTTGAATCCCACTGCAATAACCTCCGGTACAAACTCCCCAGCCTCCCCAGCTACTCCAACTATCCCAAACCCCGTCAACTGCAATTTTTAAAATACATTTTAGCACTTTTTACAGATGTGTTAAGCATTTCCATAAAAAGGGATGAAAATTGTCTTTATGGGAACATATTCGTACCTTTGCATCTTCTATAGCACCAGTTGTATGTTATTTTCCAGGAGTACCTGTAAAATTATAGAAAAAAAATAAAAACTCAATATGCATGACAAATTACGTATTTTAATTAAGGAGATTAAGAATAAGAGAAACTAATTTTACGGAGATTACCTAAACCATCTTTGTGGAAGTATATTATATAAGTAGAACTTTGCTGTTATGCCATTCAAAGAGAATACATTCATATATTAACTTTGAATCATAACACTATAGCATATTAAACTTATGTGTGCCACCAGGAGGCTGTCCTAGCTGGTACTTGATATGAAAAGTTTAAAGCCCCGGTTTCTGCAGTGCTATATTCGTATTGAAAAAATGCAAAGAACTGTGTATTATTTTAAAGCTTGAGTTTAAGACGAAGGTGGCATTGCTGAAATTCGAGTCTGAGACCGAAAATAGAGGCCTGTATCAATGTTTTGAAGTTTTGTGATTTATGTGCAAAAAACAAAGTTTGTCATGCATGTCAATCTAAACTTTTGAAAAGCCCTTTGAAATCAGACAAGAGAATGGTTTAAATAACGTTTTCTAATAACGGCATTAGGACAACCCCATGACCGTTCCGAACACGACAAACACGTATAGTCACTTACTTGGTTCCAGATTTGCATCTTCTTTTATTCCACCATCCACATTTCCTGTAAGTATCTTCCCCTATTTTTTTCGAATACTTGCACGTTGTTCTATATAACCCTGTCCATGGATTGCACCAGAATCTACAATCCATTCAAAAAGATATGTGTATTACATTTTGAAAAAATCACTTCCTATCTCAGATGAAGTTTATTGTTAAATATTCATGTCATTATATGGTCATAATTAGAAGGACATTTTAATGGCTTGTCATAAATTAGATTGTGGCAAGATTTCTTTTAAAGAAATATCTGCGAAATTTCCCTTAAAATGCAACTTACCTTTTCTGTCTTGCATTTTCTATCTCATTTTCAGCCTGTGTACGATTAAGCCAATACACGATGAGAATTGACAGATGAAGGAGAGGGGAGACCAAGTCCATTACTGAATTAGACATAAACAACATGGAATCAGACAAACTTTAATATAATATATAATTTTCTTAAAGTTTATTACCGTACCATAAAAACAATTAAACTACAGAAACATATTGAACAGAGAGCTTCTCGAATATGTGAGTATTTGCATACACAGGTCACAGATGGTTCTTAAACTGGTCGTTTCGTCCATTATTCAAATTGTTAACAATATCCGTAAATAAATGTTAAAATGAGTAAACAATTTCTAATTTGGGCGGGGTGGAAGGGGGCATTTAATGTATAAACATATGAATTCTTTTAGTTATGAGTTTCTACTGTATATTTTGATCGTTTTGTTTTGTATTTTTTAGTCTGTTGTTTTGTAATCTTGAAAAATAGCACTATACTTACCTTGTGTTTCAAACATATGTTTGTCACAAGTTTGAATGTCTGTCGATCACATCTCAGATTTTAAAAGTTAAAAAAGTTCTTAAATATTCATACATATAGGACATACCGGTATATTTTGCTCATGTATATGACGTGTGTATTCAACATACATATTGCTTGTTGTTTTATAAGCATTATTTGAAAAAAAAAATTGACATATATATGTTTTATGTGTTTGTTTTTCTTGTGACATGCATATATTTAAATATACCTTTGAGATATTCCTGTGTACGAGTACATTAAAAGAATTGTGTCTTTTGAGTTACGGTATCGCGCATCCACATTCTTGGTACATGCACATCCTTACTAGAAAAAAATTCTAAAAAGATAGTTTAGATGATGTGTAAGTATTGTTTAAATATTACCGAATTTCTTTCCAATTTCATGTTGATGTCTGTTAATGTTTATTCCTCCTAATATGGACCTGGTATTTTATCAAAGCTACTTTTTTTGTTTATTCATATTTTTGATTTGTTTTGTATGTTTGTTTGTTTGTATGTTTTTTATATGGTTTTTTGGTGTGTTCTGGTATTTTTAAGTATATCGCATTTGTTAAATATTTACATATTCTATTTTTTTTCAATTCAAGTTAATTATTGATGAAAAGAATGAAATTTATATATATATATATATATATATATATATATATATATATATATATATATATATATATATATATATATATATATATATATATATATATATATATAGATAGATAGATAGATAGATAGATAGATAGATAGATAGATAGATAGATATCTCATATTCATATTCAATTTTTTTATTATTTATATTTTGTTGTTGGATATGGAATTTATTTCACGAGTGGAACAGGACCTTTTTTTCGAGTGCAAAGCTCGATCGAAAATATTTTTTAAAAATCATGTCTCACTAGTGAAATGAATTCCATATCCAACAACAAAACATTGAATTTTCTGTTACTTACATTTTTTTTTTTTTAGATTTCTCGTAAATTTTGCCCCTGTGTATTCTTCACACAGTGTTATTGGCTGTGACGTCATAGTTGAGCGGTTGAGAATTCATAGCTTCGCAATTGTGAGATTGAATACATTGTAACATGGATTTTAGCAATATATTTGGGGAGAATTTAAAGTTTTTGTCTCTATCAAGATGGTTTAGTCACTATCTCTATCTTATGACAGGCCAGAAATCATTTTAATTACTTCATTAACAGAACACAGTTACAGAATATCATTTTGGTATCCTTTTACACTGTGAAAAATATCACTTTCATTCAATAAATAAATCACTGTATTTCACTATTGAATATATATACTTATATATATCACCTTGCATTTGATAAAGATTTAGTTTTTATTTGCTCACATGTAGCTAATTTACTAGCTAGTGTGGACACTTTCTCTACATTATGGAAGTGCTATAATTACTCAGCCACCTGTTGTCGAAGTTGGAGTTTTGTAGTGTACTTATGACAGTTTTGAAATGCAAGTGTCAGCTTCATGTTTTAATATTATTGTTGGAAACTTTATGCTACACTAGATGAAATCCCGCGAAAGCGCGGGGAATTAAATTTACACTACTACCGACAGAAAATATATTGTAGTTTCTACTGATAGCCTACAGGCTTATAGCAGGAAGAAATACTTTGTTCAAAATCCTGCATGAAGTAGATGTACGTTTCCAATCCCCCCCCCCCCCATTTGTGAAAATTTGAAAAAAAAACAGTTTCATTAATTGGCGTTTATTGTGAAACCTGTTACACTATGTTATGGATATTGTACTTCAGATGCTCTTATTTCATTTCCCTCAAGGATAAAACCAGCGAATATGCACATTTTACTGATAAATTGATTTTTTTTTTTTTGGGGGGGGGGGGTAAAAATTCACTGGTACTTTGGTCTTGCTTTATAAATATGTATGTATCTTATCGATATGTAAAAAATGTATTTTACTTTTTTTACATACATGTATCAATAAGGTACATACGTGTTTATAAACCAAGACTCAAGTACCCTTGTAAATATTAGCTTTTAACGCCCTCTGAATAGGCCGAGTATTTGATACAAAGGACTGTATTCAGAAAAATAACCGAAATGTAATTAAAGCACAAAATTTTACAGCTTTCATTGTATTTGAACAATACCTTATTCATTAATTTTCTCTTTTCATGTTAGCAAGTTTATTACGAAGTACAAATTGTACTTTGGGTTCGTTGCCACAATGCTCTCAGTGAGGATTTTACCGATAAATTTATTAGGAAAACCTACTACATATATGTAATAGTCTTTCGATATATAAATATATTCAAAACTTATAGTGTTATCAATGATTTATCATTATTTCAATGACCATTCACACAAAAGCTTTTTTATGTTAATGTAGCATAATAGCCTCGTTTTTTTTTTTTTTTAACATCGGGCTCGATGCTATATATGATGTTCTAGAAGCTTCCGTCAATATTAAGATCGGTGAACTACGAAAATAATTTGCACATTTCCCTTTTTAATCGGGTATCACAACTTATTTCTTTTATATCATTTAAATTAAGTTTTGATTGAATAATTCAGTGATGACGTTTTATGAAATAAATAAACGATTGCTTATTGTCAGTGTCATTAAAAATTGCCAGTAACTTAGATCCGCCAACCGGAAACGCCACCGTACTCATGTTTTTGCTATTTCATGGCTGTTTATAGAAAATGAGGGTAGACTTTTAATTTAATGTACGATATTAACTATGCGAGTGAAATCTAAATATAGTTTACGGACATCATCTTTTATCTAGTGTATTCTTAGAGGAGTTAGTAAGAACTCTGGTGCACCCGTTTCGGAGTTTATTTACAAAATTTATTAATTTATAAGTATAGATGTAATTTTACCACTGAAGAGGTTTCAGTATGCAAGGCAATTGTTATTCAATTCAGATTCAACTTTTACGCAAAGAGTACTTTCTATATAGTGAGTCATTGTCTATATACACTATATTCATCCTTATAATATTTATATAATAGATAAAACTTTTTACAATGCAGTTTGAATTTTTATTTCGAGCAAACATGTTACAGATCCAGCTTTCTTTACTATCCTCCTGTGTTGATGCTCCAGTTATGAAGGTTCTTTTGTATTATTTTGAGCTGTAGGTAGTTTAAATCTAGATTCATTCATTGATCCGTTGGTTTTTAATTCGCCGAACGTTTCGTTTATCTTTAAATGGATATTGTTTGTCAACAAATCTGAAAAATAAGTATGCAATAAGTATGCAATCACTTTCCATATTAATAATTGGATTGGGAATATTCATAATTCAAGCTTATAACTAATTTTACTCTTCCTCTTACCAACATCTTTATTTTTAGTTGAATCGGAAGACGAGTTTTCTGTTTTGTTTAATCCAGAGTCGGGCGTCAAGGAAAAGTCCTTTGCTTTTTGTGCTTTAGTAAAATATGTGTTTGCATTTGAGTTCTTGGAATTTCCTTGATCCTCTGAAAAAGGGGAATATGAGCTACAATGATTTGTACATTCCCAGGCCATGAAGGTTGTGCACAATACATTGTGAGTACAGGTATACCACACGAAAGTATTCAATTTGTTATGCCCTTTTGAATATCTTTCTATATTTCTAATATCGGTATAAAGTCCAACAAATTAAATGTTTTTCACATCAGTCTAACAATTTCAATATATTTGACTGCTCTATCAGCCCAGCATAAAAACATCACAACTAATAAGTAGTCGTTCAATATCGGCGACACGGAAATAGCCAAGTTTAGAGCGTATGTAATTTGAAAGTTGGAGTCACGTTTCCTCCAACAGACAAAAAATCATGTTTTATTAAAAAATTATGTTTTTTGATATGACTTTTTTATAATTTATTTTTTTTTTTTTGTTAAAGCCAAAATATTGATCATAAAGTTATTGTTTATAGATGTATGTATATTAATTACATCTGTCCACAAGTCTTCACTCTAGTGTTTAAAGTGAAGAGAATAACAAAACAAGAGCACACTGTGGGTGTGACCGGTTGACAAGAGATGCTTACTCCTCTATGGCATCTGATCCCATCTATGATGTTTTTAGTGGACCTTATTTGCTCTGCTCCCGATTTGTGTTGTTTCAATGGACTTTTGAGCTTGATAACTGTTCATTATCTCCATGTTTCATTATATATTTGGATTCCGGCAACATATGATTTGCTAGACCTGAAGGTGAAAATGTTTACACTTGTTCCACGACCTCGGACAACATTTTCACCTTCAATTCCAACAAATCATGTGTTACCTTCATACCCAGTCTATAACTGTATGATATTAAAAATATTGACAAATTAGCTCAACTGCTAATGCTGTTTCTCATTGTTTGCTGTTTAAGTAAATATTAGATTTTAAATTTCATTGTTTTACTTGGACAAACTCGAAGGAGACAGCGTTTGAATTCTTCATCCTTCAATGATCCGGGACATTTCTTTCCGCCGTGCTCTGGTTCTGGATTGTTACATTCCCTGTACCGGTAACGATACCTTACACCATGACCACACGTCTCTGAACAGTGCCGGAAGTGACCCCAATTACCCCATTCACTCCATTTACCATTCACTAAATAGTAAAAATATTTCCTTACAGACCTCGTGATACCAAAGAGTGAAGTTATTTTGAAGCATCCTATTTATCAAGGCTGAAGCAAAAACTTATAATAAATGTTTTTTTCTTTTAAATAACTACTTTTCAACTTAATCTTTTGTTTAGTGAGTAAACACAAATACCTATTTTACCTGGACATTGTTTGACGTTGCATAAGGATGACTCTATTTCCTTATTCCTCCCATGACATGCGGATCCCCCATACCTTGGGGCAGGTTTATTACAAAATCTCTCTCTATGCCTAGCTCTTTTCCCTGATCCACATGATTTTGAACATGCATCATATTTACTCCACGTTTGCCAAGAGCCCCATCCCCCGTTTCCTTAAAAACAAATTAATCTCAAATTTTAATACTTTTGATATGTGTCAACCAAATTATATATGACAAAAAATAATCTTGATTTATTGAGTGTCAAGTAAATATTATAAATTTCAGTTAAACTTTTTAGTTAAACTTTATTATTGCTTTTTAAATGCATAAAAATGCAACGATAATTTACACAGGGTGTATTTGTTACAAAATTCAATTAACAGAAATATGTGGAGACTGATCAAATTCACATAATATGTGTAGCTAATAAGCATGTCTTTCATAACATTGTACTTTGTATACCAGATAGCAATTCTGAGGTTACCACAAATGCAATTAGTAAGTGAGTTATTAAATCAATAGAATTAAAATTTCACTATCAACATTAACCATTCTCCTTATCCTATTTAAAGCATTGTTCGTCATAAGAGCAAAAATAAATTTGGATCTTTTAAACAATATTTTATTGACAAATTGACAAAATTACAATAGATGAGGGATTGAGAAACAAATCGACATGCTTATATTAATCCCGCTTGTTTCTTACACCTCCTGAACCTATAGCTATCAAATTGCAGTTATAATGAATACAAAGCAACATCAGTGACGATATTATATCATGAAATATGAATAAAGATGGAACTATTACACACATTGCTAAAAATAGAAGTACTTTGGTTGCTTTTTTCCCAGGTAGAAAATTAAAAGTAATAAAATTCATTCCATTATGAAGGTTCTTTGCTAAGTGGAATAATGATTATCAATTAATTCCATTCATTGTTAAATATTTACATTTCCAATAATTTTCCCCTATAATTCTTTACAAATAAGAATACAGTTCATTTTCTCATGAACTACCATGCACGGGCATGAATATCTCCATTGTTACGTCATAATACCTTACCTGACGTCAAAACTATAGTGCAAACTGTTTTGCTTTAAAAATGATAGTTGAGTGGCGTTATTTGTGCCAAATCATCAGAAAAATGATGTAAATATAAGAAATGAATTTAATTTTTGAAGATTCATGAGGTACATGAACTACAACGCTTCACGCCGGCATATTTATCATGAAGCGCTAACGCGCTTCATGAAATATGCCGGCGTGAAGCGTCGTAGTTCATGTCCTCATGAATCTTCAAAAAATTAATTCATTTCTTAAATATATATTTCTTACGTGGACAGTGTTGAGTGTTACATAGGGCTGAGTCCCTTTCTCTATTCTTCCCAAGGCATGTACGTCCACCGTATTTTGGGACGGGATTGTTGCAGTTTCTTTCCCTATACCTTATTCTTTTACCAGTTCCGCATGTTTTTGAACATGTATTGTATTTACTCCATGAATGCCAAGGGCCCCATCCTCCGTTTACTTAAAATATAAACAAAACATCTCTTTATCAATTTCAAAATCTGAGTAATTTTTAAGTATTTAATGATTCAAACTCGCTTCACGTTAAATGATGCCTGTATAAACAGTGCCAATAATTGGTTCAAAACTGACTTCTCTAAATCCTGATTATGAATAAATTTATTACAATGTAAGCGTCCTTATATTGTATATTACTGAATTTCATGCACACAGATCTAAGATCACTAAGAAAAAGTTTAAGCCAAATTAATTGATTTTCTTGCACATTGTACCTTTACAGTGTCTCAGAAAGCAAGTTTTCAAGGAATACTGTTTAGGTGCTCCATAGCAGTATCGTCCACCACACCTTGGTCTTGGGTTGGAGCATGTTCTCTCTCTTGTGGTTAATATTGACCCTTGTCCACATGTCCTTGAACATGAACCAGATTTTTGCCAAGATCTCCACGAACTCCACCTTCCATTGACTATCAAATAAAATGAAAATGAATCTTGTGAAAGAGATGAAGTATTGACAGCTAGGTTTACTATGGACATACATAGAGATTTACATATAGTGTATATATAGACACACACTAGCAAAAAAAATCTTTGATTAAAATAAGTCACTTAATCTTCTAGCTCAAGTAAGCTAAAACCTACCACAATTGAAATCTCTGGCGGATAATAGGAAGTATCTAAAACAAATGGGAGGTTTTCTTACGAAAACTGCATGTCTCATAAGAAAATAAGGAGTAATTGTCATTAAATACAACAGTAACATTTAATCCATTAATTCTCTTATATGTTATTCATCCAATATATATATATATATATATATATATATATATATATATATATATATATATATATATATATATATATAGAATAAGAATTTATAACGTTAGATATTCCATATTGAATGTTTATTGTTTTTTTTTTTTTTGTTTTTTTTTTTATATATATATAAAACTGAATCTATAAAAAAAAAAAAAAAAAAAAATAGGGGAACTTTTCCTTCGCCAAGCTCTCGGCAGCTTGAAGCGGAAGTTGCGATTTTTTCGGTTTTTCGGCTGTGACCTTAAATCCTGAAGCTTTGTGTTAAGGCAGGCGTTGCCACCCTAAAAAAAAAACCCTCCCTGCACAGTGGCCCTGAGTATCGTGTGAGTAATAAAGGTCTATATTTGAAGCCCCTCGCCGGCATCCGATGACGCCTCATGTAAGTGAAATAATCTAGGGACATACAACAACAAATAATCTCTCTATCAATCAAAAAGTTAAATATTAAATCACCCTTTCGCAAACATGGTTTGGATGATGTCTGCCTAGAGGTTCCATAACATCTTCGTCCCCCATTTTTCGGTGTTGGATTGGTACATCGCCTCCATCTTTGTCTTTGCTGCTGACCAATGCATGCGTTCCCAGAACAGGATCCCCATCCTCCCCAAGAACTCCATCTACTCCAACCCCCGTTAACTAGAACACAAATATACAGTATTTCCATTAGTACATCCATTTTACTTGAGCATTTTTTCTGTTCTGCTTTTGCTCTTAAACTATTTTACAATTTTAAAATGTCTTATGACATAAATAGAATTTATGCAAGAGAGAGAGAGAGAGAGAGAGAGAGAGCTGTAAACAAATTTGTAAGTAAACTGAAAGCCTTCGTCCTTTTGCATGTCTCCTAGAAGCAAATTATCAGTTTTTCATTATTAAAGTATGGTTGAAGTTGTTCCTTACCTCGACATCTAATGTTGCAGAAATAATAAGTTGTTTTCCACCAATACCTGTGAAAAAGCAAAACCAACAAGAGTTGTTTATTCAAAATTGTTAATGCTAAGAAATTTCACTTTACGAAATATTGTGTTGAAAAATAGATCTGCTCGACTAAAATGTAAATGACATATTGTATAAGTACTGCAGATCACCATTTTTTGCGATACCTTATTTTCGCGAGAAAGTCATATTGTATTTACTAGCGATCCAACTTTTAACGAATTCTGTAGACGTTTTTGCGAAAAATTTCTTACGAGAAATTTCCACTGTAAAAGAAATTTTACGAGTTCATTCCTTTTCACAAAAATTCTTACGACATTCATAGTGTAAATTTTGTCGCAACTTTACGAGAGTTTTACCTTCTTGTAAGTATTTTAGAACCGATTTTATTGTAAAAATATAACCGATAAAACCAAAAGTACAGTTTTATTAAACTTGTTTACGCAAGCTACAAAAGCATATTTTTTCCATAATTATTATCAAAAAATAAATGAAATATACTACAAAATATTTATGAAGGCAGTTTCACTTAAGATCTTTGTATGACCTACTTGTACTGTCAGACCTTTGATTGTGAGGTCAGATTTCAACTTCCTTGCTTTACAATCGATTGCATTCGAAATTTGCTTTCAATAATATTTGTTTCGCTGACAAGTGTTGAAAACCTAGCTTTATTTTTATTTTCATCCATTTTTAAGGATTAAAAAGCAAAATGAGATCGTTGCTAGGGACAAAGTCTGTCGTAAGTAAAATCTTAAAGTTAATCTGCTACGAATGCGTTCTTGAAAAGCACTTATGATTCTTAAGTTGAAATCTTACGCATAAACTTAAGATTTATTGTGAAAAGGGCCAGTGGTTATTGTTGAATTTAATCCGTTATAATAAAAACATATGCGAGAATGAAAATTTCGCGAGCAGATGGTCTTGCCCAATTATGCTAAAATTAAGTTTTTGTGAATGAATTGTGATTTACAATATAAGGTCATCTTTCTGAAGGTCACTTACTGGAGTTGAAAAAATAAATTATAGCACAGACAGGAAGAAAACTCTACAATAAGATGTTATTCATCTATTGAAAATAAATTTAAGTATTCCAGGAATCAAAAATGAGACAAAAATTATTTACTTAGTTCCAGTTTTGCAACGCCTTCTCCATAACCATCCACATGCTCTGTAATAAGTTGTTACCCACTTTGCTCTTGATGTACATTTTGATCTTCTCAATCCAGTGGACGGATAGCAGTATCCAAATATAGACCTAAAAGCAAAAAAAAAAATAATATTGTTCATTTCAATATTTGTGAAATTTTTGTTTAAAAATTTAAAGAAATTTCAAGTTGAAAACAATTTACCTTTTTTCTTTTTCATGGTTTTCAATAGAGTTTTCAAAACTCAAGGCATTAGAAATCAGAATCGACAATCCGAAGAGAACAAGATACTTCATTACAGGGATTTACAAACCAACATCGCGTCATGAAACAAGTTATATAAACTACCTAAACTAAGGATATAAATCATATCAATACAAAAAAGTTACTAACACAACAAACGACACAAATAATACTATTATAAATTGATGCACATATTTCACTGACAGCTTTTCTCTAACAATAGGGCCTAGTGCATCTTTTATCTTTTATTTATTGTAGAGTTCATGTAAATATCTATAGAATTATATATCATTTTAATTTCACATTTTGTTTGCTTTTCTACAAAACGCACTGACATCCCAAGAGATGGAGATTACATGTTGCACAGCTAGATGTCTGTGACGAGTTTCTAGTATTTATATTATGCAAAACATATGTATGGCCAATCCTATACAATTTAAAATGGTTTTGATATACGATTTTATCTTAATTTATATAAAGCTTAATAACGATTGCTATTTTTATATCCGTGCTTAAAGCTAGACAAAAAAAAACTAGTTGTATTGTTATCGTATTTCATACAAACTAGTTATTCTTTGTGACACTAATGCATTTCCCATACTTAAATAATTTTGTAATGATAAACTGAATAAATCATAAATTCATAAATCATAATAAAAATGCTGTGGTAATCATTTTATAAAACATTAAAATTCCCCATAACCAAAGCATTTTGAGTTATGACATAATTAAAAAATTACCTTACTTACTTCCTATGATAAGTAACGTGTTTTAGTCCCCTACCGGTGAAACCGGAGGGGACTATAGGTTTCCTCTGAGTCTGTCTGTCTGTCTGTCTAGCTGTCCCTCTGTCTGTCTAGCTGTCTGTTTTTCTGTCTGTCAGTCTGTCCCACTTGGTTTTCCGCGATTTTTTCTAAACGCTTGCAGATATTGAGCTGATTTTTGGTATGTGAGTGTATCTTAATGAGTTGCAGATCAAGTTTGCATTTCGTTCCGCTTCAATGATTTTTGACGGAATTACGACCTTTTCAATTTTTCAGAGTTTTCCGCAATTATTTTCTAAACGCTTGCAGATATTGAGCTGATTTTTAGTATTTGACTTTACCTTGATGAGTTATAGATCAAGTTTGCATTTCGTTCCTCTTCATTGATTTTTGACGGAATTATGGCATTTTAATTTTTAACAGGAACCAGATTACACTTGCCGGTAGGGGACTTGTATTGCTAATGCAATACTTTCAGAATGCTTGTTTTTATTTATTAAGCCTTTGTAAGAAAATTTTAAAAAAATGCATCGACATTTCCAAATGCATTTTGCTACATGAATAAGGCTCCAATTATGTTTGCAAATCTTTTCTGTATCCAGCATTTAATGGCTTCGTGTATTTTCAAATATTTTTCACATCCCAGTCAAGTCATTTGAAAACATTTTAAACATCTTAGGCAAGTGAACTTGATTTACCTATTCTGTATTCCAAAACTTTATAAAATTATTGCAAAGAATGATGCTTTGCAAGGTCCAGTTAATTTTCTACCAATACCCTATCTTTAGATAGATTAAAGATATTAACTGCTGTGAAGGAGAAACTTCAGAAATACAGTTCACATATTCAAGAATAGTGTAAATAAATCTAAAAAAAAAAAAAACAAACAAACAAACAACAAACTCTAGATTACTTATAAAAATTTGAAATTACAAATTTTGTATAATTTCAGATTTTTTGAAAGTTCTCTTAAGTCTTTGTTTCAAAATCAACATCATCAGAATATATTACTTTTCAGCATTTATTATACAGCCATTCATGATAAAATAAAGACCAGGTTTATGACGTCATAAACTACAGCTTCTTCAGTATATTGTGTGTCGCCTGCTATATAATCGTTAAAGATAGAAAGCACATCTTGATAAAGATAAGTGGTGTTAATTATTTATTTGTATACTACTATAATTATAGCTCAAGCATTTGCTACCTACAAAGGAAAAAATAATTCAGGGAAAGTAAGACTGCGATACAATAATATTTATCATAAATCTAATATGACAATCAAATAGAAATTTGCTTCCTGAACCCTTAAAGCTATACCTAAAAATCCTAACGAAATTATCATTAAATTTTATAATTTTAAGTGATTTATTTATTTCAAATACAGTAGATACCTCTCAAAATTAAAAAAAAAAAAAAAACCTTAAAAGACTTGTTAAATTAATGGTAATGAGTATCCTTGAAAAGTAGTAAAATGTCGGGATCGAGGACAATTACATTGTATTTTTTCACCATCTTTTGACAAACAGAGCACATGCCAAAACATAACATCTTCCCCTCAAAGGTTCAAAATATGTATGTCGGTACTATGGACAATTTTTAAACTTAGTTCAGGTCTAGTTCAAAGATCAAGATCTGACCCTGGTATTTTACAAAAGCCATTGTGCTAAGTAATAAACGAGCAATTTATAAAATCCCTTCCTCTTACAGTTCCCAAGATATAGGTTTTTACAGACGGACATGCAAACTACTAGTAACAGAGAGAAGTCGACAGAAGGACAGACAAAAACCGGGTAAAGTGATCCCTAATTATTGCTCTGCTCTACAGGCGAAACAAAAGAGGACTCGGAAATTCTGATATTGTGTGATCGGTCAATTAAAAATTATATTTGTTTAAAAAGAATTAGATTCTACTTACAGGTACTCTGAAGTTCATAATAAAAAATACTGGAGTTGCTCATAAACTACTTATGTATGATCTTTGGAAACCGGGTCCGAGGTATTGAAACATCTAAAGGTAAAAACAAAAAATAAGTAAAATCACTTCATTTCAATATGGGGACAAATTTTTGTAGTTTGAGAAAAAAATTATAGGTTTGTGGAGACCTGGTTTCTTGGTTGAAGAAGTGTTGAGTTGTTCTGTATTTAAAATTATACGTTTCGTGGAAGACATAAATTTTGTGTCTCTTCATACCACGAAACAACGAAAATTAAACCCAACAAATTATAAAAATTGATTTCACAGCATTGCATTAAAATGAATTTGGATCAAGCATTTTAATTTTAGATCAATAAACTGCTGCTGAATGCAAATAACATGTTAAAAAAGAAATGTAGTATTCTTGAACTGATGTGGAATTTAAAAAAAAAATCATTGTTATTCTTTTGTTATGTTCTTTTTTGGTATTTTATTTTTGCATTCAGATATTTTACATTTCAGCTCACCTGAGCAAAGGCTAAATTGAGCTTTTCTGGTAGAAGAGTTTCTGTTGCCTATCCTCTGTCCTCCGTAAACCCTTAAAATGGGGTATCAAAGTTTAATAAAGTTTAACATGGACATAAAGAGGTAAACACCTTCCTTTCACGAACAAAAAGCTCATGAATCGTCATAATTATATGCGAGCATCCTCAATCGGAGATTAAGGTTTGTTTAAATCATGGAGCTACCGACATCGACCATAAACTTAAAGACCCCAGATGTATTCCTAGGATAATACCTAGATTTATCGGCTTAGTCATATATATTATGGCTAACTATTTTTTGTATTAGTTTGCTGGATACTGAATTCATATCGGCCTTTGAATCAGTCAGGGAGTACATGGATTGTCTTATAAGAGATGGTTGAGCAGAGGTCAAGCCAGAGAGTGTAGTTACTTTATGGACATATAATATTTATGTATCATATTTCAAAAATTGGTTGTGTGTGTTAGAAAACCTCGAAAATCATTTTTCTGTTATTTTCAGTGTATAGATTTATTATTTATTTATTTAAATTTCTACGAAAAACTTCACATCTCGATAAAATTATTGTTTTGAAAATTCATTATCATACAATTAATGGAATTTCATTATTATTAAAGACTTACTACAAACTAGGAACAGGGTAAATGAACGACTCAAAAATCACATCGCAAACCTTTAAAGTGAGCCAGCATATACCTAAGGTAAAGATTTGTTGCATTCAACCCTGATGAATAGATACCATAATTATAAATGCTGTTATTGTACTAGAATTGATTTTTTTTTTTTTTTATAAATTATTGATTATTGCTTTGTGTGACCACTTGCTTCAGGATATCAAGATATTGTTAGTCTGAAAGACAATTAGCGGAGTGTCATTTCGACCTTGTCATTATCTAAATAAAAACAGTAGATGTGTATTCAGGATATTTTAATTACACTTCATCATCTAAGGCAAACGTATCATGTCTAACCATTTTCGTATCAGTTTGCGGGGAACTGATTTTATAACAGGCTCTGAAGCAGTTAGAGAGTATATGGACTTTCTCATCAAAGATGGTCGAGTAGAGGTCAAGCCGGACGGTAGTTACTTTGTAGATAGAAACCCTGCAATATTCCATCATATTTTGGATTATTTATCTGGTAGAAATTTGCATCTTCCAAAGGGCGTATGTGCACTCGAGGCTAGAGAAGAAATAGAGTTCTGGATGATCCCATTAGAGGCTGTACCCAAATGCTGTTACGAGGTATTGTACAATGATAATATGTCTAGCTATGAAGCGATAGAGGAAATGGAGGAATGTTTGACACGTGGTGTTTGTCCAATAGTAGGAGAGAGAAAATATTTTAAAGGTAAATAATTCCAAGAACTCAGAGAAACTCTCAACAAAGCATTGGTGGATCCATGTTCCAGTTTACTTGGGAAGGTAATTTTTTGTCATAATTCTGTCTAAAAAAAATAAATCATAAAATCAGATTTAAAAAAGTGCAGACATATATTCCTATATTACTTTTAGATAATCGGACCATAAACATTCATGTGTTCATAAAGCAATATTGATCGATTCTTTTACAATTACAGACATTATAATTATGTCCGAAATATCAATTTATCAATGTTTAATGTAATAGATTTTATTTTAGTTATGTCCTTGCTCACTTCACAGTAAAATAGCCAAACTTGTGAAGTGATTTGCATATACACTAATACAAATACAGTACATATCATTGGGACCATCCGTATTTCTCAAGTTGTTGTTCAACTGCTGTTTCGATATGTCATAAATAGTTACTGGTGGCAATTTATTTAAGATGGTAAATCCTGTAT